AAAAAAAAAAAAAAAAAAAAAAAAAAAAAAAAAAAAAAAAAAAAAAAAAAAAAAAAAAAAAAAAAAAAAAACAGTAAAAGCGTTCGATATCATTAAACTCGTTGAGAATTAAGTAATATTATTGTCCTAATGGATTTTTCAACTGGATTGTCAAAACGCTACAGAAAATTTCTGATATTCCCAGCCAATTTTTGTTTTTCTGTATGTCCATCGCAACTCAATCCATGTCAATCACACCTAAGCGTGAACGGTCCAATAGCGGTGAGGTAACTATAATCCATGGACTTGGCTATAATGTACGTGTTTTACATATAAATTTTCATATAAATTTTACATCTATATATGTTAACGCTTTCCACTCCTATACTGAGTTTTCTTTTTATCCTAAACTAAATGTATTTAAATTAATTGAGTGGCATATAATTAGTTTAAATTACTATATCTTTTTCTTTCAACTTACCTTTCCTTGCGAGTCAGTGGAGAAATAAAGACAATGCAAAATTCAAGATACTTATTTAATACAAAATATAGAAAAGTAAATTAACCGTCGTCGCGAGTTTGTGTTGACGTTTTGAGCGTTAGCCCTTCGCTAGAGCAAATACTTTAATCCAACGAAGGGCTGCAGCTGAAGCTCGAAACGTTAGTTTTTCCAACTCGCTATGGCGTTCAATTTACCAATATCTGCAGCTTCGAATTCAGTTTAATAAATACTTGATGTGATCGATTTTCAATTCGTCTGCGCTAGCCAACTGGCAAACTCGGGGCCGTATTCCGTAGTGTTATCCTCAATTAAACTGAGATGTAGCTCCCTAAACGAAGTGAATTTTTTATCCTCTTTCTAGGCATAAAAGCACCGAGGCTGTAAAAGTCCTACTTCAGCGAGGTGCAGACCCTTCTATACCAGACGACGAAACCGAGACACCCCTTCTCTTTGTAGCACGACGGGGCTACAAGGATATCGCAGCCCTCCTGCTTGAGGATACCAGGACAGAAGTTAATTATGCAGACGCAAGAAATTTAACGCCATTTCATGCAGCCTGTTCTAGTGGCGACCGTTCACTGTGCGAACTGCTCCTGAAGCATGGTGCTGACTTAACTGCAAAGACAAAGAACCGGCTCACTGGACTGCATTTCGCTGCTTATAACGGTGACGATGACATTTGTGAACTGCTCGTTTCTGCAGGTATGTTTCAATGATATCTTTCAGTGAAGACCCCGGACCCGGAACTATTTTGGTCAGATTTATACCGACTTGAGGAAAAGAAAAAGACAGTTTTCAAGTTGGACCGTGGAATTTGGAGGGGTGTTCCAAAATCCAGGTCATGCACATCTACTGAATCGAAAAGTAGGACAATCTTGAACTGCGGTGAAAGGTCGTAAAACTCGCATTTCTGCCTGAATTACGTAACTAGTCTTATTTTACAGGCGTTTATATCACTTACGTAAGCAGAACCATTTTCTTTCTTTCACAGCCCACAAGCAATATCCCTCTTTGAAGAAGTTTTTAGATGAAAAAGATGTTGAAGATACCACTGCCCTACACATCAGCTGTAAAAAGGGATGTACTAAGTTCGCCGAATTATTACTGCGGCATGGAGTGGATTATGAGGCGGTGACAGGAGTGAACCTCAACTCCCCGCTCCATCTAACTGCTATGCATGGTCAAGAGGACATAACACGACTGCTGATTTCTAGTGGAGCGGCCATTGAAAGTAGGGATGCACTTTTGCAGACACCGTTGCACAGGTACGGTCACATGTATGTAAATAACGTTCCGACCATTGTGTTAGTTTTCGTTTTCCTCGCACGCTGATCACTATATGAAATTGCTAAAAAAAAACGCTCTGACGTGTTTAGAGGAGTGGAAACCTTTGACGTTCTTTTCTTTTGCAACTAATGTGGTCATCTGTTCGCTTTAGTTTCTCATTTGTTGACCACGAGGTCCATAATTAAGTTGGTACCAAAACCGCTGGTAACCAGTTTTAACATCTTTTCTTGTATGGTGGAATCAATGACTAGTCCTGCGTTGGTTTTAAACCGGGGCATTCCACTAAATTTTGTCTTACGATTTAACGAATTACTTTTCTAGGGCTGCGGCATTCAATTATGTAACAATAGCTCAAATCCTGTTGGAAAATGGAGCCTGCAAAGAAGCTAAAAATATGATGGACCTAACCCCATTTTTGGTTTCTGTCCTTCATGGTGGCATTGAAACTGCTGAGATGTTGCTGGATCAAGGAGCCAACATAATGGCAACCGATTCCACTGGTAACAGTTGTCTTCATTTAGCCGTTCAACACAGCCAAAAAGAGATGGTTCGAATGCTGCTGACTCACAGAGACAAAGGGAAGTTCATGGAGCTCAGGAATAATGAGTTGAAGACGGTGATGCATCTCGCCGCTACGCGCGACACCACAGAGGTGAATAAAGGGTCTCCTCTACTCGTAGTTGGGGAGGTGACCGGCGTAAGGATGGCCGATTGCCTAAGTGCCAGGTTGAAAACTAAGGAGACGCCTAAAGAATCTTTTAGCGCTGCTGCTTAGTTTGGAAAGTGTTAGCTGAATAGAGTAGGGTCAGGATTACAAGACCTTTTAGGACCACGGTTCAGGGTCAAAAATGTGCTTTTCCACATGCAAGTTGAAGTCAATATTTACACAGTACTATTATGGTTTTGGTTTGTCATCAGATTCTGAACATCTTTCTTGAGGACAGCTATTTGTTTGACCAACGGGACATTAACGAACGGATACCGCTTCACACTGCGGCCGAAAATGGATCATTGGAATGTGTCGATTCGCTGTTGAGATGCAAAACGCTTTTAACGTACGCAAACGACAGGGATAAGCAAGGAATGAGCCCGCTTCATCTCGCAGCTTCCAACAAACACGTGTGAGTTATCTATTTCTATAGTCCCGAACCCCGCAATAAGCTAAAATCCCTTGGTTATGATAGCCACCTTCCTTCTCACGTAAGGCCATTTTTCTATGTTATAATACGACTACCCAATTAACACGGCGAGATTTCAGAGTCATGTCTTGAAATTTGCAATAATAACCATAAATGTTAGTTTTCTCTGGAGAAATGATTGCGTGAAAAACAAGGAGACTGTATAAGAAAAAGAAAGCTGGCGTTCTAGTTTCTTACACATCTCACCTATTATATTGATTGTAGTTATAAAGAAGAGAGAATCTCTTAGACTTACAAGACTTACTGTTTTTACATTTTCAGGGAGACTTGTAAACTCCTGATGGGGAAAGGTAGTGACGTGGCATCACTCAATTCTCATCAGCGTACTCCGCTTCATTTAGCTGTCCAAGCTGGTTCACTGGAAACAGTCCGCCTTCTGTTGAGTCCTATGCTGCCAAATACACTGGAGATTAAAGACGCTGACGGAAACACTCCACTTCATATTGCATGTTCGCTCAATCGTCTTGAAATACTAAGGTTCTTCTTGGACCAGGGAGCTGACGTTACTGCTTTAAACAATGAGAACATGACTTGTCTGGATGTCGCTATCGAGTGGGATTCAGTTGAGGTGGCGAAGACCCTCGTCAAACACAAGAGGTGTGTTAACGTAGGCACCGTTTCAATCTTCCCCCATATAACCCATCTAATTATAATTATTGTGTTCCAATTTTCTCTGACCTTTGTAGCATTTGCCCCCTTAGTAAACCGTATTTCTGAGGCTTCCATTCTACCGTTCGAGACGGTGATGTGACATAATAGCATTGCTCAATATGCCAGAGCACGTTTGTATTCAGCCAGTTTGCAGATCGGACGTGTAACATTTTCTTTGTTGTTGTGTGGAACAAAGGGAAGGGCAGACGTCTATACGCAGGCTAGCACTAGACTGTTGCAAAGCTGTGGACTTGTCTAGGTCTTGGGAAAAATATACTGTATATGTACTTGCTCTTCTGGTATCGTTAATTTTTGTCTTGTTTGCTTAGATGGAAGGAAGTGGTTTGCCTCAATTCTACAGATCAAATAACACCCATGGAAAAGCTGATAAGAAAGCTCCCTGAGGTGGCTGAAATCGTTTTGGATCAATGTATTAGCTACAACGACCTGCCAATCACTCATCCAGACTTTACGGTGACTTTCAATTTCCATCCTTTGGACCCGCCCGATGCTATAACCAGTAGTCGCTATTTTTTTGGTCCGGCTTGCATGGCGACCTACCGTCGAGAGAGTCTTTTAAATCACAGTGTGACGCAAATGCTATTGAGATGGAAATGGCTGGCTCTTGGAAAGTTCATTAACTACTTGAACTTCTTGTTTTTCTTCGTTTTTCTTCTATTGTTCTCTGTGTTCATTATTGAGGAAAGAGGCAAAGTAAACCTTTCGCACGGTGATGCTAGCGCCACATCAGACACATCAAAAGCGATGCCAGCGGTGATCTTTGCGTATTTGATTATAGGCCTTTCGAAAGAACTAGTTCAGATGTTATGGTTACAAGTAAATTACTTCAAAGATTACACAAACTATGTGGACTTCGGTATGTATGCGTGTACTTTCATCTACATCCTTCCTTACGTGATTAGAGACGACCTGTACGGTGACATTGAAGTACAGTGGACTGCGGGAACATTGGGTCTAATGCTGTGTTACGTAAACCTAATTCTCGCTCTACGTCGAGTGAGTTCGGTGGCCCTGTACGTGACCATGTACATCGAGGTGCTGCTAACGTTTATTAAAGTGATCCTCATCTTTACTACCGTGCTTATTGGCTATTCGTTAGTCTTCTATGTTCTACTGAAACAAGAGGTAAGAGAGAAAATTGTTTAGGCGTAGATCAAAGTAGTTGTTTATTGAGAGGAAGCTCTGTTATTTGCAATGAGAAAACAGTTCGACACAATACCGAAGGTTTAACTTCTCTGCAGCGACCGTCTTTGGCGGTTCACATATTCAACAAAGTTTAGTGGAAGGCGAGAAAGGGGGGGAGGGGTTGGATGAGGGGCTGGATGAGGAAAGAGAATTCAAATACAAAATGCATCGGCCGTTGTGTTTAACTTCTTTTTGAAAAAGATTGGAGGTTGCCGATAGAAAGAGACGGCCGTTAGTGAAAGTTCTACAGTGATAAAAGTCAGCGAAAAGAAACTAGAACGTTTCGAAACCATTTTAGCTTCATTTACAATCAAGTAGAACATAACGGTTACAATATTGCATTTCGCTCGTTAGACATACGAATTGATCATGAAAGATTGACTGAAGAAAGAAAACTGTGACATTAAGTAACTGTATCACGGTAATAGAAGCGAAGATGGTCCCATAGTTCTTTCAAATCATTTATAGCCATTAACAATTCGACGTGAGAAATATTCCCTTCGCTAAGCATTTAAGGAAAGCCTTTTTCTTATCCTATGTAACTGAGATCAGGATATGAAGTTTTGTATATCGCAAAACAAAGTAAAAAATATAGTTCATGTAAATAAGGAGTAAAACTCCATACGTAATGGCAAAGTGTCGTTGTCGATGTTACGTTGTTTCTCGGTCTCATTTGTGTTTCTGATCTCTCGTTACGTTTCAGGATAACTTTTCATCCGTTTGGGTGTCGTTTGTGAAAGTATTTGTGATGATGATTGGCGAAATGGATTACTCGGACATATTGTCTGATAACGTTGTGAACAGTGCCAAGGTCCCAGGCACAGACATGCTCTATGTCCCATTGCCAGAGCTGTCGTACATCATGTTCATGATGTTTGCTCTGTCAGTCTCTATAGTCCTAATGAATCTCTTGGTGAGTTAATACAATTTACTGTTAGCAACACAACAGAAGTATGCCTTTTAAACCAACGCCTCGGCAATACGATGGCCTTTAGGTCTGAAGAAGGCAGAGTGGTCACGTGAAATGCAGCCACGTCACGTTTATGATCGGAGAAAAAATAGGGTCCATCTGACTTATTTGGATAGTTGAAAGAATCCACGGTTTTATAGTCACATGGCTCTTATCAATGGCGTGCACCTATTCGATTATCGAACTTACTTGAGAAACCACTTTTGTGAATGAAAAGTATGGCCGGGTTTATTTTAAAATATTCTTTTTTCGCTGTTAATTTAGTACCTCAGGTCTTAACCACCTCTTAAACTCGCGTGCTAGGTTAAACACTGCGTGACTGATTAAAAATTCGTTTATGAAAGGTCAATGATCACACACTTTCAATTGAAAAGAAAATATTTCATTTCATAATCAGTTTTGAAAAAATGAAACTGAGAGCAAAAGAACAAGAAGCAAACAAACAGTCAAACAAACAAACAAATAAACAAACAAACAAAAAAACAAACAGAAAACAAACAAACGAAAGGAGAATAAAACGTCAACTAAGTAAGATCTGTCAAACTCGAACACTTGGTTGTTTTTGTATTGCAGGTTGGCCTTGCAGTTGGAGACATTGATTCAATCCAAAAGACTGCAAGTCTGCGAACTCTTATTGACCAAGCCTTCTTAGTGGATAACATACAGAAGAAATATCCGAAAACGTTGTTGCGCCTAGGTTATAAAGAGTCCATGGAGATATCACCGAACCAGAATACTTTTATCAAGAGGTGGGTATATCATTCTATAACGTTTCCTCAAAATACTGGGATATCTTATCTTACCAATTATGTTTTGCTGTACATTTTTTTAAATAATGGCTTACCAATTCTTTTCTCAAAAGACCAAGCAATATTTACAACTTTTTAAAAATAATTTCTTTTAACCAGTGGAGATTTTCTTTAACGATGAAAAAAAAAGGGATTTTCTTTTACTGCTTCCCAATAGATAATAACATGAAAGGGAACTGTTTTCACGGGCAGCTTTTGAAAACTTTACTTTCAGTGGACCTTTTCGGCAATACGGTGGCCATTTTGAATTCGATCTATTGTTTTAAATAGCCATTATGGGATGCTTAGGGGGCCAATGTGTATCAGATTAAGTGTCTAGAGTAAATAAAGCATTGTGGTTGTTGTTGTTGCAAATACATACTAATTTGCTTCCTGAGCATCCCATAATAGCTATTTGAAACAATAGAATTCAAAATGGCTGCCTATCGGCGAAAAGGTCCATTATCCAGTTAAATAAAACGTCTTTGTACTTTTTCAAGTATAACTTTTTCCAACCGTGTACATCCTGGAAACTAACGCGATATTGAATGTAGCGAGATAGAGCTATTGGCGTAGAAAAAACTCGCGACCCTTCTTCTGTCCAATCAGAAGCCATACCAAAACAAATCGTTACTCGCTTGCACACGTTTTCCCGCGAAACTTAGCGGCTAGATGTTGTTGTTTCGAGTTATGATTGGCTCATTAGGCTGACTGCGATCTTTGAGATTGGCAAGAGTGATAACCTTCGTTTTTGTTTAGCGGAATTCAATTTAGAATCGCTCTAAAGCATTGTAGTCTCATTTGTTCTTTGTTTTTTTCAGGTTAGCCTTTGCTGGTGTTGGTCTCTCAGATGACGAGTTCTTGGACCTCATTCGCAAGAAAGATTCTGATCAGAACAATGATGAAGACGATCTGGACAACTACGATCAACAACGAATCGAAAGGCAGGAGGAAAGAATCAAGACCCTGCAAGCTACTGTAGATGCTCAGACCGAACTGCTGAAAGCTATAGCCGATAAACTACAAATTAAAAAATAAGTAAATAATGAGGAGAACATCATTATCGTCTGGTTTATTTATTTATATATATATTTATTTATTTATTCATTCACTTATTTCTTCATTTATTTACTTATTTTTTTTTCGGTTCAGGTGTCGTTCTCTTACCTTTTCTATCCTCTTAATGAGGAGAGCCTTTTGGGACTGACCTGGCTCTACAAAAAAACAGGCATTGTTACTAGGCATACCAGCACGAGTGCCTACTTTCTAGCTCAATTTGTTTGTTTATTTACAGTGTCGTCAATTAGAATAGCAGTGCTTAACATGAACGACTGAACTGATTAATTTATTTACTTCTGCCTTCTCTATTTCTTTTTCTGGAAAGAAAATTTTAAAAATGCAAAGGGTTTTGAAGGGGTGTATACCTGTAGTCGGGGAAGCAAGAATTAGTTGATTCAGGTTTGCAAGACCGCGGCTGAGTCTTCAATTTTGTCTCGAAGTTTGTAGTAAGGATACAACTGTTCGCGCCGTAATGGCCAAAACGCTTTTTGCAGTTCTTTCAAGTGTTTGAATATTCTTTAATTGATTAATCGAGTAATAAGAAACGGGACCTTTATCGGTGTTTCAACGACAAGTTGCCCGCAAAAACGGCTCGTGTTTTTTTGATATAGTTTCCTTTGCGCTCTTTATGTACGCTTCTGATGTGTTACTTTCGTGTTTTTGAAACATTACTTTGGCGCTTCATTTGGGTGACAAACAAAATCGCCTAAAATCGTGTTAACAAAAACTTACATATAGCATCGTTAATTTATACGAGTTTCTTCAGCTGTGTAAACCTTCTATGCGGATAACAAATTCATTTGCATGAAAATTTCTTCGAGTTTAAGGTAGACTGGCAAAATAATTAAAGTTATAATCGCTATGAAAATTATTGAACCTCTATAATAAAGAACCCGTTTAGCTGATTAGTGGGGAAGTGTGGAGGCTGTCGAGGTCCAGAGGTACATGTACTGATAATAAATCTGCGTAAATCCGGCCAAACCCTCTGTAAAGCTTTGTGACTTGTATTCCTCAAAATGGCCGCTGTACAGCTTACATATGGGTGCATGATTTTAGTATGTTTGTAAAATTCTCTGAAGAAGTCTAGGACAGTTAAACGAACTACAATAAACAAATTTTGTGGCTTCAGTTCCGCGAGTGCTGCTCACTGCGACATAACCTTTAAAAAAATGTTTTAAAATGTTTTCTTTTTCTCGTACTTTGGTAATTTGAATAAAACACTAAATTATATGCGCGTTTTACACAGCTGTCGAGATATCGACACCTCAAATCTCCTGGAGCAAAATCACAGGCGCTTTAGTTGCCATTATCTTATTAGTGACCGCGCATTTTTCCCAATGACAGCAGCGAGTTTAAGTGACTGCGACGGCGACGCCGAGGACAACGTCGATTAAAAAAAATGAGTTTAAATTTTACCTACGAATCTCGGTCATTTAGTTTGTTTATCTTTGTCAAAAATATCTCTAAACTGAATATGGAACACAGCGTAAAACTCGAAAAATAAAATTTAACAATTATCCGTCGTGGTTCACGTTCTCCACACAACGTAGAATTTAGTCATTTCACGTTACTAGGGAGTTTACGAAACCACGTCTTGCAGAGGACGGCAAAGAAATGTAGCAAGAATTGTAACGCACGTGCACAGCCATTGTTCTGCTCATTAATTCTTTTGTTCAGTGACGTTCCCGTCGCCGTTGCCGTCGTGGTTTCGTAAACTCCCTACTGTTTTACAGAAGACGACACAGAAATGTACCAAGAATTATAACGCACGTGCACAGCCATTGAATTGCACATGAAACCTCTTGTTTAGCGACGTTCCCGTTGCCGTTTACTTTGTGGTTTTAATCTCCCCAATAAAACTACTGAGCATTGTAATATCATTCTCAGTTCAGACCAATGTGGAGAGATGAGTCAATATTAAATAATAACATCTCGGGTGCCTTTCTCTCATACTTTTTATAATATGGTGTATTAATTCAGTATTTATTTTCATGATTAGGGCATGCCGTTTTTTGGAAAAATGCGACTTTAAGGACTCTCAATGATTTTACAGCTGGTTGGAGCTGAAATCCTCATCTCATGAAAATAAGTGGCGAAGGCTAATTTCAATTTTCATTGCTTCACCTGTTTATTTGGTGACATAAGCGAAAAATTATCATAAGCTCTATACCAATACTTCAAAAATGCAGTTCTTGACTTTCTTGGATTTCCAGAAATTTTTATCAGATGCAATAACCTCATTACTGTAATAATCTGGCTGTAATCTGGCTGAATTATTATTAAAAAAAGAGAAGAGGACAGTCAAGAGTGACGTTTTTAATCATGCTTGTCTCACCCAATATCAGAGTAATTAATAGTTACACGATTAATTCCCGACTTCACCGAATTAGCATCATCTGACGGTAATTTAAATTAGAATGTTCTGTGTCACGCTAATCAGCAAATGCCGAACGAATATTACATATCACCCACGACATGATCACGTAGTTGAAATCGTCGCCATGAGCAGTCAAAAGTCGACGTATCGTTCTATTGGCGCCAGCAATGGATCAGGTTTGACGGTTTTCTTTCGCTTAGTTATTAGTTTCGATTACGACTATTACGTTTTAGGTTCAGTTTATGGTAAATAGGACACAGATACGACTATCCTTCAGTGCTTTACGTCGTTTAAAGCTAGTTGTTGTTGTATTAGACACTGCGTTGTCGACGTTTGTTTTTAAGCTGATAAACTAAAAGGACTTGTTGTTCAACGAGAGTCGGCTTTGTGGAGGATAGTGTGGATTCACGAGATGAACGTAGCGTACTTGAGGTTAAAACATGATATCGGTGATTTGGACTTAAAATTTTATTTAATTAGCCCAACTCTAAATCAAGGTTAAGGATAACAAGGCGTATTGTGGCAGGTGTAGACCTTCTGAAAACTAATGACATTGGTTGAGAGAATTGGCAAGAACACCTAAAGGCAGACAGAATGACGAATATAAAAACCACCGTGACCGATTTATCGACAGTTTACTTTGCATCAACGGTTCTTTGTAAGCTTGTTGTGAGCTTAAATATGAATAAAAAGCACATCATATAGTTTATCAAACCCCTTATTTAATTGAAATGGTTTTGCCATGACCGTGGTTTAAACAACTGAGAGTTTTGAAGTGGCATGAGTAACAATTCTATAGCAAGAACTCGGTTAGGAAAATTGCGTGAATAGAATATAAATGTAGAACGACCATGACGTTGGTGTTTTTGATCATTAATTATAGTTAAGCTTTTGTTTATGAAATTTTATTAAGGTCTTTTGTAAGTAAATGGTTTTATTGGGTGTACAGGCGTGGAATTTCTTAAAATTCATTTTTGGTAATTTGAAAGTCGAACTGAAATGTAGCAATCTCCGGTTGCTTCAGTTTGATATTGATAGCTTTACCATGATGACCTAATCGCTGTCCTAATCGGAAATGTGATGTCGGGTCACAGACAGAGAAAGTTTACATTGTCCAATGTTTTAATAGTTCACGGACAGATCGGAAAAGGAAATCCTTTTACCCTTGCATTTCGTGAAATGTTTTCGTAGAGTATCGTGTCAGCATATCTAATAGAGGGGAATGGTCATGAAACCCGATAAAGTTCTTTGTTGTGTGTTTTTGTTCGCTTTTTTGGCCTTGACCGTGTACAAAACACAATACTTGTTTACTCCGTGCTGAGGAACTAACCAATAGAAACGTGTTGGTTTAAGTAATTCATGCGTAGTGTATGAACGCAAAACGAAAGATCGTGCACGGTCATGGACGTTCCAACATAAATCTTGCCATCTTTGTTTGTTCCTTTGATGTTTGCCGGACTTTATAACCAGTCCCCTCTATCAACTATGGTGTCAGTGGGTGAGGTGTTTTTTAAGACATGAACATTTTGCGTTGTTATATAGCTGGCGTTTTTCCCACTACAGCGCGCCCATTCATTGGCTAGTTCATGGTCACATAACATCTAACAATGAAACTGTTTCTCACCAAGTGCCAAGAGCGGGCAAGTTGCGAAAACTATGACGTCAAACGGGAAACAAGTCACCGTTACCCGCGAAATGTTGACCGCTGTTGCACGTCATTTGTCAATAAAGTGATTATGAGTTTTTCACTGGTTTGACCCAGTTGTTTTGCTATACAACAAATTACTTAATTAATGACTGGTCCCTTGGGGAACAGTGAATTTTGTTTCCCTCGAATCTCAATGTTTCCCCCGACTTCGTCTCGGAAATCATTGAGATTCTCGGGAAACAAAATCCACTGTTCCCCAAGGGACCAGTCATTAAGTGTTAATTGTCGACGAAAATATTATGCGTAAAATGAGTTTACAAAATACAACATGTACAGCAGGCTATTATTAGTTGCGGCGCGTTGTTTTGGCTTACGACACTGAAAAGAGAAATTTCGCAATTTTGAGAAATGCGTGTAAACGTTTTGGGCAAAACTGTTCAAGTTTTCTGGTTAACTGTAAAGTAGAGTCAGGTAGTATGTAATGGACCATGTTTTCTAGTTTACAGTTCGTACGTTTTTAAATATAATAAAAACAAAGTTATAACAATAATAAAAATAATAGTAATAAAATAAGAGTATAATAATAATTCTTTATCGAGCTCATTCAAATTCTTCAATAAAACTTTACGTGATGATTATTTAAGGTACAAAACTATTTACAATAAGTATTTTCGGTTTGTGCCATCATCATCATCATCATCATCATCATCATCATCATCATTATCATAATAATAAATGAGCTGTTTAAGACAAAAGTCTTGTCCTCAGGTCTCTGTTACCCAAGATCAATGACGTTTAAGAACATCCATGATCAGTATAACAATTTTTTTAATTGACGTGTCATTATAACTGATTTATTTCTTCAGATAGCCCAGGCTTGGCGTCTAGAGGCATAGTGAGTAGTACCTTATCTCTGTCCAAAGTTGAACCACTGATCGATAGTGAATATCTAGAACTCATCACCAATCCGGGAAGCGCCAAAGGATCACGAAATGTCAGTCCAGCGCCTCTACCGGGAAAGGAAATTCAAGCATTCAAGCCCATCGAAAATGGTTTGAGGAAATTTTCTAACGAAAGCTTTATAGGTATGGAAAAGATGAACGATATAGACGGTGAAGGGTTGTCTGCCCTTCATCGAGCTGTCCGTGCTGGTGATGTCGCTACAGTGGTTGCTCTGCTGGATAACGGTGCGGACATCAATCTTTTAGGCAAGAGTGGATTAACACCGCTTCATGCTGCTGTTAGGTATGTGCACTTGTCTCAATCAATACTAGCAAAGAATAGCAAAAATTTCACCCCTACGTCACAACGATAAACTATCCTTAACATTCCCTTTTATGTTTAAGCTAGCCTTTAATTAATTTATTGAACGACGCTTACTGAGTTGGCCCTGTTCACAATCTTAGGTTTGATAAAAAAAAGTATTTAGTTTACAATAACTTCACTTTCTCCATAATCCCCCTCCCCCGAGGTGGCGGGGGGGGGGTGGTGGTGGTGGTGGTAAGGGGGGTCATAGGCAGGGGTTATAACGAAGAACAAGTATAAATCTATGTTCGATGTATTGGTAGTTCTCTCCTGTTGTTGCATCTTCTATTTAGCATTTAATTTTACGTATGCCGTGGTCCGTGTTTTTTTCCATGTCACCCAAAGAACAGCCAGAGACACGCTGTCAGCTTCATGGCCTCGAGGAAGGGTCACTTCCCACATCTTAACCCGAACGCATTGGCAACAAGAACAAAATATAGTACTACATGTATTCTCGATAATGGTCGATATGTTTTATAGGTTCGAAAGAGCCGAGATTGTTAAACGTCTGCTTGAGAGAGGAGCAGATCCACTTATAGAAGGGGAGAACCATTTAACACCACTTCACTCAGCGGCACGAAGAGGCTTTACGGAGATATGCAGGCTTCTCTTTAGAGATCCCAGGTTAATGCCAACGGCAGTAAAGGACGAAAGGGCTTCGCCATTTCATTTGGCCTGTTTGAGTGGAAATCGAGAAACATGCGAGTTGTTTTTAGCAAATGGTGCGGACGTGGTAACGAAGTCAGGGCAGCATACTCCACTCCACTTTGCAGCCTGGCAGGGGAACGAGAACATTTGCAAGTTTCTTATTGAAACAGGTAATAGTTTGTTTTCTTAGGGTTTAGTTTATGATGTTTGGACATGTGTCTTGCCATGCTTTCGTCTCAGTTCTGTTTTTGACTCGTTGAGTCAGCATAAAGATGTCTTTGGAATTTAAATGTAATACAGAAGATCAAGAATTTCGCGTATCTCTGGATCTGTTCAGTGACATAATCATAATTTGTATGCCTAACGTAAAAAGAAAGCGTTCAGCATCAAATATAAATATTGGTGACTGGCTGTTGTGGCTCACGTTCCCCAGGAAAAGCAGACTTTGGTCTTTTTCATTGCTTTTTTTTGCGGAGGACGGCTAAGAAATCCAGTACCAATCCATGGCCATCTGCATAGCCATTGGTCCTACTCATTAGTGAAACCTTTTGTTTGGTGACGTTCTGACAACGTTACTGTCCTGTTCGTGGTTTATGTTAACTCTCTATAAATGAAAGAAGGAGGAATTTGGCTCTTTTATCCACAGCTTTCTTTGGCCATTCCCGTTCGAAATAAGCCATTTTACTGATGCAAATATTTCCTAGTTCCATTCCCTTGTGGGGGCAAGAAGTGATCACTCGGCCAATTCATTTAAATCATCGATTTATTAAATAGATTAAATTTTGCTCCCACAAGGGACTGGAGCTATCAGTAGCAAAATGGTGTATTAATTGACAATTAAATTGGCCAAACTTTAGTCACGCAATAAACTGATACTGAACCATTTCTTTCAAGCTTCAAAAGGGCAATTTTCTGTGGCCGAATTTGTCAATGAAAAAGACAACGAAGGTAAGACAGCCCTTCACTACGCCTGCTTTAGAGGTCACACAGGAGTGGTGGACGTGCTTTTACGTCACGAAGCGGACCGGGATGTAGTCGACTTGCTGGGTTGTTCGTCGCCTCTTCATTTAGCAGCTAAATATGGTAATGAGACGTCGGTCCAGCTTCTGATCTTGTATGAAGCTGTCATTGATTTAAGGGATGGGAGCCTAAGAACTCCATTGCACAGGTAGAATCATAAATCACTGCTGTTTCATTACTTTCATGTTTTGCTTCAGATCAGTTTTAATTGATGACTCAGCAGAGAGTGGAGTATGAAACAGTCAGAAATTATGGCTGTGACTCTGAAATAATCGTGACCCATTGTAATAAACCAATTGAAACTTAATTTCAACAATGATAACCATCGTCGGACTCGTCTTATTTTTGTTTTATTCAAACATTTCGGTACTGGAAAATAGTTACGACCTTGATATATAACTCATCATAATTACTAAAATTCTTTGAGCCAGGTTTTTGGGTCCAAATAATAATATTGTTGATTTGTTTTAATATCAAGAAAGGGTGTGTTAGTGGTTTAAATGAAACACTTTGGTTACATACGTTTTGCATAACGATTATATCTAAGTTGAGCCTTCATATCCAAACAAGGTGTTTTTTGCTGAATTTGATTCGAGAAATATACTTTCCTCAGTGCTGCAGCGTTCAATCACAATCGAATAGTCGAGCTTCTTTTGGAGAATGGAGCTGATCCGGAAGCCAAGGACATGTTGGCTATGACGCCATTCCTGATGGCAGTGACTCTGGGAGGAAGCCAAAGTGCGAAGATTTTATTGGACCACGGAGCTGATATAACAGCAACAGACTCTTCATTGAATAGTTGTCTTCATTTGGCTATTAAGTACAAGAGGGCAGAAATGGTGAAAATGCTCCTGGAAAGAGACACAGATCAAATGTTAATACTATCAAAGGATAAAGACCTAAGGAGCGTGTTTCACTTGGCAGCTGGACTGGAAAATTCAGAGGTATAAATTTAGTTATATTTTTTCTTTGTCAGGCTGCACCGTGTGGTATTAATATATACCCTGATTGTATTCGATCTCACAATGCGTTTATGAGAAACGAATAAAGCATTTTCAATCGATATGAATTTGTAGCATCCCATGATATATTTGACAGCCTGCAAGTATACATGAAACAAAAACGTGCAAGGAAAGGTTTATAACGCTAAATGAACCTTTTCATAACAAACCCCTACATTTAAAGGTCTACCGTTGCACTGAATGTACTTTGATAACAAATAATTATTTGGTTGCTTTAAATTGCAGATTCACAGTATTCTCTTAGGGAATTAAGGGAGAAATCTAGCCAAATGGATTGAAATTGTCTTTCCAAATTATCCTCTTAGTGTAAGGTTTGGATTGCATAGCTAGACGTCGTATTATTAAGTAATTAATCACAACCACTTCAAAGTTAGTGAAAACCACCTTGCTACTCGAGCGTTAATTTTTAACTCTCATCTCTGTGATGAAACTTAAATACTGAATTTATTGCTGTTCCCTTTCATTTAGATATTGGAAATTCTAATACAGTGGAGAAAACAGCACGATGTCAAAATTGATCGTGATGTTAACGAGAAGACACCTCTTCATATCGCAGCCGAAAATGGCGCACTAGAGTGCGTGGAGCTTCTTTCTAGTTGCAAAGACATGTTGAATGACAGAGATGAACTTGGACTCACAGCTCTTCATTTGGCTGCCAGCAACAAACACACGTGGGTAACTTTATGAATATCCCAAACATTTTAACCAACAGGTCTTTTTAAACATGTACAAACTATAAAACGCCATTAACTGGCTTGTAAAATCCTTTGCTGTATAGGGCTAGCATGACAGCGCGCGCATTTATTGGCTGGTTCGATGTCACATGACAACTGACAATGGTATTGTTTCCCGCCGAAAGTCTCTGAGCGGGTAACATTGCAAAACCTATGACTTGATGAATGTAGACGTGTTAGTTGTACTTCCTTACGTCTCCGTTGTGCTTTTTACGATAACTGCAGAAACTCTCACGCGCTCATTGGCGGACTTTCATTGTCAATAAGCGGACGACAGACACATGAATTTATAATTTATGCGACGCGGCAACAAGCGAGAGAGGACTATTTGACAATTTGTTATCGTAAAAAACAAATTGACGTCAGTTTTTCATACGTCTGCATGTCTTGTTATTGACAATGAATTTCGTCATAACATTGTCAAAGTAGTCAGCTACTTTGACAATGTTATGACGAAATTCATGATCAATAACAGGACAGACGCTTGAAAAACTGATGTCAATTTGTTAAGTCGAATCTCAATGGCGAGATTCTTGTGAAACAAAATATAAGCCGTTTCCCGGCTATGACGCTTATTGTGATCGCTCTGATCAGTTAAAAGAAAGTACTTGTGGTCTGCGTTAAAACACAATTTGTCACAAGTTAAATGCAGTGGGTTTCATGTCTCGTTTCTTTAAATTTCAGCAAAACGTGCGAGTTCTTAATTTCAAAGGGCTCTGACGTGACATTTGGGGATGGAAATGGTTGCACAGCCCTGCATTTGGCAGTCAAGGCTGGCTCACTAAACACCGTAAAAATCCTGCTTGACTGTCTTTTACCAAGTACACTGGAACATAAAGATTCCAGTCAAAACACGCCACTTCACGTAGCTTGCATGCACAATCGTCGAGATGTTCTCAAGTTCTTGTTGGACAGAGGTGCTGACGTCACGGCCAGAAACATAAGGAATATGACTTGCCTAGATGTCGCCATTGAATGGGAAGCGGGCGAGGTGGCCAAGACACTCCTGAGACATAAAAGGTACGCTATGAGACTACCCACTGTAATCTTACATGCTATATCGCCGTTTTTTTTCTTGTGAAAGAACTGCCCAATATTCAAGGTGTGGCAAAGTTTAGTCCAATAACTTTCCCCTGATTCTTATTTATGACATATGTGTCTTTCTGTACTTTTGCCTATTTTAATAATGATGGCTTGAGTATCTTGAATATATAAGTCAGTATGTCAAACGAGCTCTTGGATCAGGATGCTGTGGACTTTAAAGCATCATCATCATCATCATCGTCATCATCATCATCATCATCGTCATCATCATCATCATCGTCATCATCATCATCAACATCATCATCATCATTATCATCGTCATCATCATCATCACCATTATCATCATCATCATCATTATCATCGTCGTCGTTGTCGTTGTCGTCGTGGCGTCGTCATCATCGTCATCATCATCATTTTTATTTGCCACATTATATATAGAAACATACAATGAAAAAACTTGGGCGAGGAGACCTCAAAGAGCCTCTTGGATTGTAGCAGAGACCAGCTCAGTTATTAATGTAATAATTTTAAGCTTTGTGTGCGCGGCATGACCAATTCAGCCTTGACTCCAATTTGCTCTCTCTTCAACAAATCACTGAATATGTTCATCATTTTGGTGTTCCAGAAGCATTTCGTGTAGAAGCGAAGTTACAAAGTCATAATTATAGCATTTTTTGACCAAACACAATGCCCCTCTAACGTGAAATCGTCAACGAATCGTCAAATTTTAAATGCCAAGGATCAATTACGTGGATGAAAAAATAAAAAAAAAAGATTTTTTTAAAGATTAATTTAGAAACTGAAAGTTGAAACACGAACACCATTAACACCTTGCTAAACTTATGACAAAATGCCAAATGATTTATGTTTATATTGATTATCTCGCTTACATTGTTTTCATTGTTGGTTCTAATCCACCACATTGAAACTGAATAGTTGCTGTATCTCTCTTAGGTGGGAAGAAGTGCTCAAGTCTAGTCACGGAGTGTATCCTATGCAAAAATTAATAGAAAAACTTCCTGATGTCGCAGAGATTGTTCTTGATCAGTGTATTAGCTACAGTCCCCTCCCCCCGTCGCACGAAGATTTTTCTGTCACATTTAACTTCATTCATTTGGATCCGGATGAGAACACCGAGCGCTTAAAGTACTTCGGTCCCGCGACTATGGCGATACATCGACGGGAAAAGTTGCTAAACCACAAAGTTACGCAAGTGTTGTTACGTTGGAAGTGGATGATTTTGGGGAAGTTCGTCAACATCGTCAATACCATAGCATTTGCAGTTTTCGTCGTTTTGTTCTCTTTGCTTGTGGCCAAAGAAAGGGAGAAAGTTGAGTTCTCATTCAATTCTTCTGAAACAACCACGATCATGGAGGAAAAAGGCAAATCAACCTTTGTGAAGATAGTCCCTTATGTATTAACTGTATTTTTGGTCATACAACTTATGAAGGAAGTAACTCAACTGACGTGGCTTCGATTATCGTACTTCAAGGATTATACAAACTGGTTAGATTTAGCTATGTTTGTAACGGTGTGGATTTTCATCTCTCCTTACATGTTTGAAACAGATTTGTACAGCATGAAAACGCAATGGACCGCTGGAGTTGTAGGCTTACTTCTGTGTTACATCAATTTTACGATGTCTCTTCGTATTTTCGGTGGGTTTGGCTTGTATGTGACAATGTACGTCGAAGTGCTTTTCACTCTCCTCAAAGTGATGTCTACCTTTGTTATTGGCCTAACGGGCTTCTCCTTGGCGTTTTATATTCTACTCCAGGAGCAGGTGAGCTTGGATAAAAACTGTTTACCAATCTGTTCTATAGTTGATTGCATGCTGCAGAAACTCTCCGTTGTAAAGAAGTAGAATTTTCTTAGTACTTTTCAAACTCATTAATTATTCATCAAGTTTAAACAAAGGTAATCATGACTGTGACGGTGTTTGGATATACAATCTTAGTTAGCATAGATTTTTAAGATTTTATATCTCCGTTTTCTCCTTTATATTAGTTTCAATAGAGAAGATATATCAAACACTCAAGACCATGTTTGACCACTTTCCAAACACCCCGAAAATCGTCAAAAATACTCCGCTACGTTTCGTATTTTTAACTCTCTTCTCAGTGTTTGGAAATGTGGTCAAACACGGTCTTTTGTGTTTGATGTACAACCATCTCTTTCTTCTCTCTTCTCTGTTATTTATATAAAACTGAATTATAGTTTAATACCCAAAATCTTTCTTTTATTGCTGGGATCCATCTTAAAAATACGAACATCCCAGGTCATTGGGATGGTGCTATTTCTAGGATTTTTATTTTTAGACTGTGCTTGTTTCAAACAATCAATGAAACTTTTCCTCGTAGGGAAATTTCACAAGTTTCTGGTTGGCTTTAGCAAAGATTCATATGATGATGGTTGGTGAATTGGATTACACGGGCGTACTGGTGGAGAACGTTGTGAACAACTTCACAGTACCAGGAACAGATGTCCCGTATGTTCCTCTGCCAGCACTCACGTTCTGTCTGTTTTTTGTATTCGTCGTCATGGTGTCTGTAGTGCTTGTCAACTTGTTGGTACGTGCATTTCTTGCTAAGGACGAGTAAATGCATATCTAGGGATCGGCATAGCATATTTTGAAATCAAATAAACATATGAAACCGGCCGCTAAGCCAGGGAGGGGGTGGGAGGGAGGGGATACTCTACAAATTCCTATACGGGGAAAGCTCCGCCTTAAGGTCAAACCCCCCACCCTTTTGGGTACCATTTTGGCAGAAATAGGTGTCCCTTTCTTATACCTATAATTGAAAAGGTACTTCTTTCACATACTTTCACAACTGGCCCGTATTATAAATAAATCGCCAAAAAGAAGTCCCCGTAGAGGCCATTATAGGAAGTGCCCCCCCCCCGGCCCCAGCCCGATCAATTTTGGGAAATGAAAAGAAATGAAAGAAGTTAAAGAATCTGAAAAAGGATATGATTAACACCGATATATTAACTCCAACGCCCTCATGACAAATCCAGACCAATTTCTTTTATCGTTGCTTACAAAAGCTCGACCTTTTGAAAACATCTTAAAAGAAAAAAAAAAACCAAGAGAAGGTACTAATATGACTCAGTACTGTCAAATTGGGTCAATTAATGAGAAGTTAGAGTACTTAATTAAGAGAGGAAGCCACATCAGCCTTAGCTGGATAATGAATATAAATTTTGTATCATTTTTAAAGATTACCGGCTTTTTTAGATCAAATACACAACTGCATTAGATTCCGAGTATTGAATTGTTGAAATAAATGGCCGCTGATCTCTATCGCCGAGAGGATCCGAGGACGGTTGGACGTCGACGGGAAAGCCCATGATGGCATCGACCAGTCGAGTAAATACGACTTATTATCAATTCAAAACTGTCGTGTTATTAACTTGGATGCTTTACAAAATGATTCTAGGTTGGTCTGGCAGTTGGTGACATCGAGGCCATCAGGAAGACAGCAAGTCTGCGAGCTTTGATAGACCAAGTTTTACTTGTTGACCACATCTTGAAATCTTACCCAAAGTTTATTCTACGACGCATATACAAAAGTTCTTTGGAAATAAAACCGAATCAAAATAGTTTCCTTAAAAGGTACGTATTTAATTTGAGTTTGGCTAATACTTGCAGGATTTTCTCTGAGGCAACTAGTAAATTAAGTATTAAGTTGGATTGTCACGACTACCCGATTTCTGAGTAAATCGCTTCTGAATTGCAGAATGACGCCTATTACTTCGCCGATTGATATCATTTTATTTCTCATCATATTTTATTTTGTTTAATTTTATCTATTTGAACAGCCTTTTGTTTTCAATTATTGAATCACAGTTAAATTATAGCCTACGTTCGATATTTCAACATTGTATCGAGGCTTTCCGCCAAACGTCTATATTCAATTTGGTCTTTGGTAGATAGTCGTGGAGTCATGGTAAAATCTTTGATCTATACGGACATTGTTTTTGAGCCTCAATATGCATGGTTGCCTTGACGTCACGAGAAAAAGCTCTTTTCCCCAGAATTAGTGTCTATTTCAAGCCGGCATGCGCAGCTGAGTTATAATTATCATGAACGGTCCAGGGGGAAACTCTCTTGTCAATCTCACTGATCAAATGCAGCTCAATTTGATTTGGATAATTTGTCACTGCTATAGGCCTAGACAAGGAGGCGCTTTGGCCGTGGTGGTGCACTCGACTCCGAATCGAGCGGTTAGGGTTCGAGCGCTGGCTGGGGACATGGTGTTGTGTTCTTGAGCGAGACACTTTCCTCTCACAGTGCCCCTCTCCACCCAGGTGTATAAATGGGCACCGTCGAATTTTAATGCTGGGGGTAACCTTGCGATTGACTAGCATCCCATCCAGGAGGAGTAGAAATACCCCTAGTCGCTTCATGCTACAGAAACCGGGATAAGCTCGGGCCTGATGGGTCACCTGGCTAGCTCGTTTGAGGATTTTACCTTACCTACCTATAGGCCTGGACAGAGTTAATGTTTTAACAAGGAGAATTTTTTTCCCTATTAAAAAATTTATTCCTGTATTTCCACTAAGCCCTTTGTGAAATCTTCATACGGTAATCTTTTAATTCCTGTTTGGCTTAATTATTTTAACCGTTTTTGCCTCCAAAGAGTTGCCTTTGCTGGTAATGATCTAAGTGATTGGGATTTTATGGATAAGCTGCTGAATCGCGGATCTGGTGCGAGTGACACAGAGGACTGGTGTCAGGAGATGACACAGATACGAGATGAAAGACAAGAAGAGAACTTTCAGAAACTCCAGGCCACTGTAGAAGCACAAGGAAAACTTCTTCAGGCTATGGCTGAGAAACTTAAAATTACAGTGTAGAACATAGAACATAGTGATTTGCTGCATTGTGCGAGTGTCGATATTTAGTGCGCACGAGTAAAGCAAGGGGCTTGACCGTAATGTAATTATGTAATTATTTAATTTAATTTAATTTAATTTAATT